CGTCTTGGCTAAAGAAGTCGTCGACCGCATACTGAAAAAGAACCCAACTGTGCCCACACTACCGGTAAATGGAGTCCAGATCAGCAACGCAATCGGTAAGACGCTATGTAAAGTTTCGAAGCAAATATACTGCTCATGCGAACTCAATGAAGCAGATATATTGGTGACATTTGTACAGATGGAAAATCTCAACGAACGGGGAATCATCGGTACTGACGTATTAGACAAATATGACGCACAGATCGATTTTCAAAATAAAACGATCAGATGGCGTATCAATGAAAAGGAACATATAACACCATTCAGAGAACAGGAAACTAGTGAACCAGGGGACAGTACTGCACTCCAACAAGTTGAAATTGCCAAGGAAAGAATAAGTGAGGGAAAACTACTCCCAGAAGAAATTGTCATATTCAACGAACTATTATGGAAATATGAACACATATTCTCAGAGAATACAGGCAAAATTACAAACCACAAAGCACTGACGTTTCTCAACCAATGCCAACTACTGAATGCGCGGTTGATGAGATGGGCCATCAAACTACAAGAGTTCGACCTGCAAATAACCCATGTTCCCGGAAAGGACAACATTGGAGCAGACACTTTAACCCGTTACCCACAAAGTCCAGGGGACAGGGATGAAATACAAAAAACAACTATTTACATCAATAAAGTGCTACACAACCAGTATAGCACGAAGCTATTAAGACAATTCGAACAGATGAAGGATCTCCAGGACCAAGATGAAGAGTTGAATACTATCCGAGACCGCATCAAAACGCATGAAACCCACAGGTACAAAATACACCAGGGATTACTCTTCTTCATTGATAAAGATGGAAGAGAGAAACTCATGCTCCCCAAAATTATGGTACGAGACATAGTGGTAGAAACTCACGAATTATTCGGACATTTTGGAGCAGCTAAAGTACACGACATGCTACGAAGAGAATATCAGATACACAAGATGTACCACACCATCAAACAAATAATCAAGCGATGTGATATATGTCAAAGAAGCAAGATCCCAAACCAAAATACTAGGGGACCGTTGATTGCAAACATTCCCGAGAAACCCAAAGAAAGGATTTCACTGGACTTGATGGGGCCGTTACCAAAAGGACAGTTTGGAAACCAATACATTTTAGTATTATTGGACCTATTTACGAAACATGTACAAATTTATGCTATGAGGAAAGCAACGGCCGGGAATATATTACGAAAGCTGCGAGATAAGTACTTACCTGTCTTTGGTCCAGTACAGAGCATTCTCACGGACAACGGTACGCAGTTCCATAGCAAAGCCTGGGAGAAACAGATGAAATTATGGGAGATACGCCACATAGTCACAACTACCTATCACCCCGAAGGGAATCCGGTTGAAAGGACGAACCGGGAAATAGGTCGTATATTACGAACTTTTTGCTACCAGAAACATACCGCCTGGGTAGGGCATTTACCAAGGATCGAGTATTGGCTCAACAATGTCACTCACTTATCCACAGGCTATACCCCACAAGAACTAGTCGATGGACGCCGACACAGTTTTCGACTGAACAAACTGATCATGGCTGACGATCTATTGTTAACTGAAGAAAAGAATACTATTGTACAACTGGCATATAAAAGACTGAAGAAGACCGCGCAATACCGATGTGAATACCATAACAAAGGAAAGAAATTCCCTAATTATGTTCAAGGCCAACAAGTCCTCCTACGAGAACATAAATTATCGTCGCTAGATGATAATACCGTAAAAAAGTTCTTCTTGCTATATCGCGGACCATATCTTATCACTGAAGTACGAAAGAATAACACCGTAGTAGTAATCTCGGAAAATGGTCAACAGTCAACTCATAATTTCAAAAACATCAAGCTGTATGTACCTCCTGACCCCGGCAAGGAGATACAGAATTAACGCCAGAGACAAGAAACCAACCATCCACCACTACTATAACCATCACGCCCAGCACCAAGGCCACCACACTTCCAGTCCAGGGACCAAAGGAAGGAAGGAGACTAGCTGATCCTACAAGCAAACGAAGTATCAAGAAGAAGAGTTTCGGATCCCTGCGCACTCGACCGCAGTAACACATTTAAAAAAAGAAATAATGTATATATCTTGCCATAAGCACCAATTTTATTGTTTAAACCTTAATAGTTTCATCTTGTTTTTATTTTTCCTAAATTGTATATTGTAAAACTTTCAAGGTTACGAAAATTTTAAAGTCCCATTTACTCAAAATAAAAAAGGGGACTATGTAACGATTCTGAATGTACGGACCACTCCTTTCTCCGCTAGTCCGCGCCACCAATACTGCGCGCCCGAGTACCGATACGACATTTCGCTCGCGGACTAACGGTAGATCGCGCTCAAGGACAACTCATCATAGATCCGACGGGGGATCGCTGATTAAGGATACAATTGGTCCCTCCAGGGTGGATTAATGATAGTAAACTAGTAAGGGCATACATTCTGAACAGATTCCTATGTACATCCAAACCCCTATCGACCCGGAAAACCCTCAGCGGCATCGAAACGGGTATGTTGTCATTCGCTAGGCTGACAATCAGGAATAAGCGCAACAGCACATATAGGAAGGCCCGACGGCCGGCTCACCGATTCCGTTTTCCGACCAAAATACTGGTAGGGATAGACACCACCGTCCAGAGTCGTGGGTAAGGCTGTAAAACCCCTTACTATCCGACTGCCTGGTACCGTGCCTATTCCCACCAGTAGTCGTAACTCTTTTTTTTCTGCGTCCGTATACGCCTATAAGACTCCTTACTTTCCAACCATATCAAACGGCGTAGTGTAACAGTCCGGGTACGGCATTAATACCCCGTACTGCCGATCGTTATACTACGATACGCGATTTGGTCGATGTGGAAGGAGTCTAGTCATTTACACTCTCTTATCGCTCCAAGAAGCGCATAGTAATTGTTAGGGTGCCGTTGAAGGTGCATCTATTGGCTACTGCTGCAAAAACTGTAAGTCGGAATTTATTGTTATAATACTAAAACGTACCGAAGCTGTATTTTGTTTATATAAAATTTTACTTGTTATAATTGTTATATTTGAATTATATTCATATCTTGATATTACCCGTAATCGGACATCCGGGATAATTGCATTTGTATTACTACGTGTATATTAGATTCTATGTTCTATATTTTATTGTATTATATGAATTTGTTTATGTCGATACAATAAATGATATTAACTTTAATGAATATGTGTTCCGTTCATTACAACTCCATTTATGTAGATTATCGTATTTTTACAAAGTTTGAAAATATAATAAATAACAATTGTTATACATTCATATAAATATTTTATTTTTAAACAGGTGTTTCAAACTTGAAATACTCTGATAAAAATCAAATACAAATATTAAAACAATTGTGCCGTGAATGATTAAGTATAGTAAATGTCAGCGTTAATTAAATATACAAAAATCTAACCCAAGTATGAACGTGGTGATTTATAATATTTACCTTTACTCGCTAATCACTCTACTCTTTAAATAAGTATTTACGATTTCTTAAAATATAATTTTAAGAAAATTAACTTATTTAAGGAGATGAGTATTAATTCGTATATGGTACTTTACGTTACGTAAAACTTTTACTTTACACAAAGTTGGAGATGTGTTAAAATAAACTGTTGTTTTCTGCTTATAAATTTAGAATGTGGTTAGCTTTTTAAATAAAGTTCTAATCCAGAATATAAAGTAACAACTTACAATTAGTATTAGGTAGGTACTAAAGTACAGTACAACATATTAATGTTTGTTTTATTACCTATTAAGTGTAAATAGTTTTTTTTTTAAAATAATTTAAATATATAATCTGTTAAAAATTATTTAATTTTGTTTTTGTAACGGGATCGCCGACCTATATTAGGTACATAATATGTATGCTTAATAATTTATAATTTTTAATTCAATGTGTAAATAAATATTAATGAAAAACATTTTATAATGAAACTTATTATAATTTAATATACCAGATATCAGAATACTATTAAAACATATAACTATAATTTTAATTGTATAGAATTGATACATTTTATTATATTATGTATAATGTATATCTATATACATATATAAAAATGAATTGCTGTTCGTTTGTCTGGATAAAACTCGAGAACGGCTCAAATTTTTTTTAGATGTTCGTAATTGCCTGGAGAAGATTGGAATGAAAGAAAATTTTAGGAAAATCAACTGGAAAAGTAGGAAATCTGGATGAAAAAAATAAAACAGTGGCGCAAAAGTGTATTATAATTTATATTGGTTCCTATATTGGTTAATCGAGAATGTTTTTTGATTTGTATTTTGTTTTTTTGTCAATATATATATATATAAATAAATGAATGTTCGTGTGTAAATTAGACCTCTGGCAGAAGACAGGATAATTTAAAAATGGTTAAATTCGGTTTTTGTTTTCATCTGATATTAGTATGTTTAGGATTTTGTATTAACTGATTATATTAACCCACCATAGGTGGAATACAACAAACTTGGTATAACTTTTATACTTTAGAGTTAAACCATACACTTAAGTACAAACATCACGGGGTCCGCGATCTACCACAGGTAGATTGCCTACCTGATAATATACTGCTATGAATCAGAATTATTATTATTATTCTGGGCAACGGAAAAGTTAAGACAAATTTTGAACATTATACACTGAATATTAAATAACGAATTGAACAAAGTTCGAGTCATATAGATTTGGTACATTTAACGGGTAACAAAGTGCATGGGCATCAGCTAGTTAATTTATAATTTTGTATTTCTATATTATGATCTAATATGATATTTATAATAAAGTATTTTGATTAATTTATTGATATTTATTTTTGATTTAAAATACCAGTTTTATACCTAATAGGTATTCAAAAATACTTTTATATTTATTATTCCAACTAATAATAGCTTTTAACCATTACCTATGGATATGAATTATGAAATAATGTGTGGTGTTGTTCATTAAAACTTTTTTATATACATTATAGTAGAATCTAATAAATTAAAACTTACATTTTCAATGACGCAAATAAGATTTATTGTGCTTCCTTTTCCGATATGGTACTCTTCTCTTCCTAGAATTCGAGCCGTTGGTACGATCACATCCAAGTTATAGTAATGCGAAGCAATACCCGTTCCCATCGCCACCTTACAAAAATGAATCATGATATAATATTTAATAATATTTATACAAAATATTCTTTGTTATAATTTAAAAAAAATCAAAACTTAGACCAGCGTTTCCCAACATCGATGTGCCTTGAAGTCTCCATAGGTGAGAAACGAAATGTTATGATTATGAATAAAGGTTTCTCTTATATCGAGGATCATCTTGAATTTTTGATTAATATTTTGGAATAGAACTTGAAGGATGACATTAGGGCTTGTCAATGATTCAACCACGGAGGAAACACATTATGTAGGGAAATCTTTCACAAGGGTCTAGGACTAGATTTTTATAATGTTATTGTAATGTAGGTAGGTAACGGTTATTCCATATCAATAAATTTTATATTTTTATTAAATTAAATTATGATTTAACAAGAGTTTTCCTAACTTTATAATAAAATTAAAACGAATGTATACATATATAAGTCAAGTACTCAAGTATGCCACAGCTAAATATGGGTTGGGATTAGTGTACCGTGATTCAGAAAGGTTAAGAAACGCTGTCTTAGATAATATTATTTTATATTCTTGTAAATGTAGTTGTTATTATATCAAATAATCGTTAAAAATCGTTTCTACATAAAATATAACCTATTCAGTTGTTAAATTGATTTATGAATATTTGATAAGCTGACTAGTCAATTGTAGTGAGTATATTATACAAGTGAGAATATTATTCAGAACGAGCAACCTCATTAAAATTATTTAAATTGTGCTTTACTGGATTCCAGTTATTATTGAAAATTAATTGAAGTACAACCTAAGAATTGCGGTTATTATTAAAATATAGTTTTGTGTTCTCTGATATTTGAAAATAAATAAATAATTTAATTATATATTCATACTTACAAAATACACTTATCGACTAAAAGTATAATACATTATTACTCATATAATATTATATACTACTTTTATTTATAATTAATCATATTGAAACGAAATCCAATAACCGTAGCTGCCTTTAACTTATTAAATATTTTAATTCAAATAAATTATACAATAAATCTTATAAAATATTTTTAATATTTTTACATGTGAGATCTAAATATAATATGTTATATTATGATATTAGGTATATCAGATAATATATTCTGAATATTTTATAGCAGGGCTTGAAACCGGTAACCGATTTTTCCCGGTAACCGGTTACCATGAGTACTTTTTGGACTGGTATCCGCTTCCCGGTTCTTGAGTTTCAATTTTGAGAAGCGGTTATCAATTACCGGTAATCACGGAATTTGATAAAGGGGGAAATCTATAACGGTAACCGTTTATTTTTAGAACCGGTTAATTAATCGGAAGTATACAAAACCGTCAATCTCAAACCAATTAACGTAAAAATAATTTTTTTTAAATTTTATTGAATATTCTAAATAGAAGAAAATAATATTTATAAAATACTAAAATAGATTATTTTAGAACTACTAAGTATTAAAATTTAAAAATACCAAAACAAGCGTGTTTGATTGCGGAATCGTATCGGCGCACTAACAAAAGATTCTCAGTAGTCAGTACCTATGATATAGGTACTGAATACTGATACGAATGGTAGAAACATCGACGAATGCGGGCTGATACATATATATATAATAGTATATAACTCTTGTTTGTACGATATTGTACCAAGTACTAGGTAATAGGTACGTTATAACTTATAATCAGGGGACTGTTTTGATATTCATTATTTAATAAAAAGTTCGTTACATTAGTTCGTAATAAATAATAATAGTAATACTGAACAAAACTGTGTAATACTATACTAAACATGTTAAGTTTGATGAAAAAAAATAGAGTAGGTATTAAAACAAAAAAAAAAAAAAACGGTTTTGTGAGGTAACCGGTAATTTTGAAGATTTAAAACCGCTTCCAAATAGATAACCGGTAATCCCATTTATAAAATTTATTTCGGTAAGCGGGAAATGATTATCATTATTTCTAAAAACCTCGATAACCGGTAACCGGTTCCAAAAAATTTTCCGGGTCCTGTAGGACCCGGTAACCTATTTCTTCAGGAGCGGTTTCAAGCCCTGTTTTATAGTATTAGGTATAGTTTAAGCTCTTAGCGTCAAATCAGATATTCGTATGAATTAAATTTAAACCATCATCCTTCCATCATCTTAATGTACATATCTATCAGTTTCTTCGTCTTAACGGCCAAAAACTAATAATGCGGACATATTTATCTATTAACTTGTTACCAAAATTCATCTCAAATATACCACCTGAGAAATCTCACTTTTGAAATTATCTAATGAATAATAAAATATAGATTTATTTTATTATTATCATCAATGGAATAAAATACATTTAAAAAAAATATATCAATTCAATAACTAATAATAATTATTATGTTTTCATAGCTGTGTATGTGGGTACCTATTAAACACGTCATATCGAACATTTAAGAAATACAAATAAATCTATAACATTTACTGTTCAAATCTTCCACACTTAACTATACTTAAACTTTGAACAGTGTTTTGAATTTGTGATATCAGACAATCAGTGTTTGTTAACACAACAAGTAGTATTCGTTAAGATTTCGCTTGTTTGCAGTGATTTACTGATCTTAAGACAGACACTCGTGGAAAATTTAAATTAGTCTGTCATACAAAGAAGTTCACGACATTGGGATAGTAAAGTACTCGAAATGAATATCGAAGGATCCTTCAGAGGCGAGTAAACATCAAGCAATATCAACACTTGGTGTTGTGTATTTTGTATAGGTACGAGTGTGCTGTATATGCTAAATAGCTGGCATAACTACATGAAGACAAACCATTAAACTAAATCATAATATTAATCCTTATTGTCTCTAGAGCCCAGGCTATAGTTATTGCTTATTAATAAACTTAACTTTTTCCACTTTTCAAAAATCATGATCCGCAGGTAATACTCCAAAATCATATTATCATTTTATGATATTATATTACAACAACTTATGAACACAATAATTTTGATAATCTTATAACTACTAGGTATAGATTGTTATAATTTTAAAAAAATTTCACTGTTTATCAAATTATTATATATAAATACATAAATAAAAATTTATAAAATTGAAGCCGTTGTTTGTGGTTGTGGTCGCACCAGAGCGCCTTTACTTGAAATACTATTGTAATATTTCTGGTAAAGTGGTGTCTTGTCTACTCGAAAATTAATAGCCTGCAGGTTGCAGATATCACTGGGTAGTCAGCTACCCGCACTGCAACCCTCGTAAACACACATATATGATTTGTTTTTTGTAGTAAGTAATTACTAATTTATTACTCAAATATAACACGAAAATAAAACATATTTACCTATTATATGAGTATTAACTTTATTTTAAAGCATTTAATAATCCCGAGCTATCCTTGGAATTAAATGTTTTCAGTTGTAGTGCTTTAGAAGCGTTATCGCTTTCGTAAAACACCGGCAACAATATTTTTTTTTGTTTTTGCGTAAATCATTATAATTAACTTTTTGAGTTTTAGATACTTATTTTTTTAATGCAACCATTTTTATTTTCATATTTTGAAACAGGATACTTGATTAATAATTTTTATGTACCTAATTAACATTGAACCACACATGTCTATTATATATAAGCGAATTAATGATGCGAACATTATTACTATGGTATTTGTTAGCTACCACGTAAATATTATTCGATTAACAGTAAATATTCGATTTTTGAATATAGAGTTGTAAAAATTTATAAATTTAAAACTCAAATCATTAATTCGTCTAAATTGTAAATTATTTTGGAATCTATTAAAAACTTCAATTACTTTTAAGAAAATGTATCAATTGTATTTTATTTGCTTTTTTTCTTAGATGGTTAATATACCTAATATTTATTTATCGTTTAAGATGATAAAACATTTCAAATATTTATATAATATCTTAGTCTATTAGTGTGCAGTTTTCTTAAGATTATTTTTATTAAAACTAATTGATATTTATGAAAATTATTATACCTGGCATTCATATGAACCAGCATCCCTCTTTTGCACATATTTGATCTGTAAATCCCAATTATCTGCGTTGTCTGCATGCATTACATGAAATCTGTCATCATTTGTGTACATAAAAACACCGGAGCTTAGTATATGCCAATCTCGACGACGAACCCACGATACCTGAAAAAAATATATACTGTTATTGTCATGAACTCACATACTAGCAGAACTGGGAATGTAATACATTAAGCACCTTCAATATTTCCCTCACAATTCAAAATTATGTAAATATACAATGAACCACATTTTTTTTTAATATTTCAACAAAAAAATATTTATGAATTAACTATTGAAAAGTTGTACAGGACTATTACACAATTTGGCATGCACTACTTGTTCATTAATTTTACTTTTAAATAAAAAGAATTTCTATATTGGTACTCGTAATTTTATAGAATAATGATCAGTGTAAGAAAAAGATAACCAAAAAAATCATTTGGATAAGATAATAGATTTCTCTAGGTAAGGTAAAATATAACATATTTTTATTTTATCTGGATAAAGATAAAGATAAAAATACACATACATTTATCCAGATAAAAAAATAGATAATTTATTACTTTATTAGTAATTACCAATTAGGTAATATTTATTAATTAATAAATCCTTAATGTCATTTCTTAACTAAATTAATTTACAATTTAAATTTTTAATATAATTGAAATAAAAATAAAATTACAAAATAAAACTGATAATTTTTTAGTAAACATTTCTTTTTTTAACTATAATAATATTGGAATTTGGAATCACTAAGCGATTCTCGTAAATTATTGGCTATTTCAGTATTTAAAAATATTCTTATTATTATATTATTTATCTAGATAAGATGATTTAAGAAATAATTGTATCTAGATAAAATTATCAAGATAATAAACATATAGTATAGTAAAATATGTGATGATATTATTTTTATTTTTTAGAATGTGTGAAAGTATTGCAAAATACCATTTTTATTTTCATTAAAAATACACGAAACGGATTTTAAATAATACGAGCATTGAATGCACAAACTATACAAGAGGTATTTTAATTCTAGCTCAAACTCCATATCCGATAAAATAAAACTAATGACAATTATAGTACTTGAACATAAATTGAATGTGTCCTAAATTAACCAATTTCATGATTTCACAATGTCAAAAAAAAAAAAACATAAAACGGGAGTGTGAAAAACTTTTTTCATTTTTCTTATTTATTATACATAATATACAATATTAAGGGGACGGAGTGTGGCTGAGTGGTCTAAGGCATCTGTTGCGACGCTGCCGGCGCCGGTTCGATTCCTTGGTCATGGGCGGCATTTGGTCACGGTGTCCGGAGAACAAGTGCCGAAATCCCCCCCCCCCACCCGGGCATGGCATATTCCTACGGGTGCTCAATCAAAAATTCTGCCACACACAAACACTTACGTGTAAAAACCCACCACTTCGAAAATCCCTAACACCACCACAATACAACCCTACTAACAGCCAATGGCCATAGATGCCGGGCTTAAGGATCAATAAAAAAAAAAAATACAATAATACAATAATAAGTTTTTAATTTCTTCTACCGTAATAATACGATTATAAAAATCCTTTCAACATAAATAAACATAAGTACTCCGGAGGTAACTATATGGCATTTATTATTCAAAAGTACCTACTATAATGTGTACCGATAAAATTAGTTAATTTCTGGATGTGAAATAAATGTACTACATTCTAATTCAATCTAAATAAATCTGTTAGAGCATTTAAAAAAATATTTTGAATTGTTCAACATTTTATCGGTCTATATAAATCACTGATAAGATTGCATTTAAAATAGTCATGGTTTATCAAGCTATAATACAGATACAGATCATTAATTGAAATGTCAAATACAAATCATATTAATCAATGCCTTTTTCTGGGTACTGCATTTCAAAAACCAAAGCATCGTATTATTATTATCTGTTCGAAAATAATATGTTATTGTATAAAAATATCTATAACGATTATGATAACTGCACGATATAATATTATTATGATACTCAGAATGAATCAATACGAGTATTATAACTTATAAGCATACAATATAGTCAATATACGTAGATGGAAGATAATTTATAAATATTTTCTAACAGTAAAGTGTATAATGGCAACCATATTCTATACCGGATTATGGTACCACAGATTCCTAATTTAAATCTTACATTTCAAGTCTGAGAGAATTGTAATCAATTTCATACCGCAGAATATCACTTATTCAAAACTGGACAAAGATTTCAATCTATTAGCAAGAAACTTGAGATAATTGTATAGATTCGTACAATGTCTGTCTGTACAAAACCTCTTGAAATAATAGGGACTGAGGATTATATTGTATTACTAAATGTATTAATTTTAAGTTTAATTAATATTATTGTAGAATACGGATACCCGTAAACAATACAAAATAAAGTTAAAAGTAAATATTGATTCCTACTAGACCACTGTCAATTAAATAGAACAGAATTTAATGAACTATTTTACCCGGGCCTCTAGAAAAAAAATAATTTATAAATATTTAATTTAGACGAACATATTATTATACTTATATAACATGCTATGAATGCGCAAAGCTAATTTTTTTAACATAGGTATATTATAATATATTATTCAAATTTCACTTGATCCACTTATAAATCATACAAATACGTTGTAAATTCTATCATCTACCATTGAAACGATCGATCAATTCATAGGGAACAGAAGTTAATATAAAATTGTATTTTTGAAAGTGTATGATGATTTTAATTTAAAGGCTACTTATTACGTAGAACTTGAATTATTATATACTAATAGATATTATACAAATTGTAATTTTTCGTTGAACAAAACGCAATGATATAGTTATTAACAAATTTAACAAAGTTGACAGGGTGGGCAGGGTTGACAGGGTGGGCAGCTGCCCATACCAAAATGTCTGGTGTCCCTTATTGGGGAAGGGGGAGGAAATGAGGTGTATTATTCGCAGTTAAAACCTAATTATAAATCTACTGTTGCCCATACGAAAATGTAGTCCTGGAACCGCTCCTGAAAGTTTAATATAAAACAAAAACTCTAAATAAATGTGCAAGGGGCAAAACTATGTATACGTTACTAGTTGCATCCATAATCTATAATAATAATTATATAATATAGGCCATACGCCCAAACTTATCCATTATACTTCCTGTACAACAGAAGATTAATAAACTCGATGGTAAGTACATTAACGTCATACCGCAGACACGATGACATAGAAGTATGGCATTATGTCAAAACTATTATGCATCAAACTCACGTCGATTATATTGTGTACTTGAAGGGGAAAAAAGAAAGTTTCGTGGGATTATTCGTTTAATTACTACGCCTCGGCAGTACAGGTAATCGTGTCCAAAGCGGCTCCGAGTGTGTTTCACATTGTGCGAGTGATATGACTTATTATACTTCGGTCGCCCAACTTAACACGAACCGAATGAACTTGAGTCGTAAAGTTCGGGACGACGACGACGATTACTTCAAAGCAAAACACGGCGGGCTGAGGCAAAAGTTCGGGCCGCAATAATAATACCTGTGCTTAGTACGCACGACAGCAGCTATCGCATTATTGAAATATATTCTCACACGAACGCGTCGCCATCAGAAATTATTACAACATCGAATTCTGGTGGGACGGGGGAGGGGGGGGGGGTCGGGCGCACATTATAATATTATTATGATCCAGCGAATGGCGTGTCGTCCCTAAACGGTTTACCGAAAATAATAATTGTCTGTTGTTCGCCACAGCCGCCGCCGTGACCATCGCGAATAGTGCAGATCGCACCCGACGAAGACACCACTGCAGTTTGTCCGACGTCAAACCGCTTCCGGTCCTGCTCGCTCTCTGTCCGCCTTAGTTATATAGTTGGCGAAACAATAATAATTGATGTAATTACGACGGTTCGCTAACTATGGCGGGACACGTCTTGAACGAAATGTATTATTCTCGTCCAAAGTCAGTTTATCGAGGACGAATAAAATCAAGCCTGGTTATGTGTATAATAATGTGCGTTTTTTTTCCCTACACAATGATAGTTATTGTATTTACCGAGTTTGAGGTGAGACCTAGGGGTGATGCAGAACGGCAAAGTTAAGGTCATCAGAAGCTATATTTTGTATTGTAATAGTTCACTAAAAGCATATTATTATCATTATTTCGATCTGAAACATGAACCGATATTGTACTCCGAAGCTTTAGAATATGGTTATTATTGATAATAATATGTATATACCTGTCGAGAAACATTGTCAATATTAACCGTTATACATACCTATCGATTGTCGTATTGCGCAGTGCAATAATTATTAAAACCCACGTCAGTATTTCTATGTTCTATTGAGTATAAACACTATAGTTGACTATAAACAATCTTCTAGTTAAAAAAAAAATTGCCTTTTCAATATTTTAATATTAATTCAAGTACGCTCGGCTTATGATGAGGATTTTTGTATTACATTTTCAAGCCTTATTAGATTTAAAAACGAAAATGTCATAAATATTTATCTACAAAATGATATGCTAATTTTCGTGATATTTAAGAGTTTGATCTTCAACAATTATGAAAAATTATTGTTTCAATACATTTTTGATATTTTTAAATTTCTGTAAGATAAACTCGTGAGGATTCTGATACTAAAAATGTTTTGACATAGAAACAAACATGTTATCAACAGAAATTAAACTTTAAAAAAAGTTGAGATATTTCTAATATACTCGTTGGCACGTATACCAAATTGTTAATATTGGTAGTTTCATCTTTAGTAAAATGGAAACAGTTTATTAAGTATATTTTCTATTATAATCAAATATATGAAATCAGGCTATAATATCCGAATAATTATTATAATACAAGAAAATATTTTAAAGAAACTTGTGTCTAAAAATTATGATTGTGCTCATTTTTTTTTTAGAAAAACTTCTCAATAACCATTAATTTAAAAAATACATTTCATCTTATATTTATGTAGGTATAACTAAACATAGGCTGGTAAAATCAATTTCATCTAAAATAGTTTGAAATCAACTACTATAATATTTTAACT